GACAAAGTGGATAAAATCTAAAATCGGGGTGCCAATGATGCCAAAATAGCAATGGCTGACATGCTTGAGATTTGCGGATGACATATTACTTCTTGTGACATCTCTACGACATGTGAAAAAATATGACTAGCGACGTGCAGGGCGCCGTGGAGGAGGTCGGATTGGTCCTACACCCCACAACGACACAAGTACTCCACAACAGTTTCGGCGGCGCGCGCAAAGACCATAACGCAGTAAGCGTGGGTGGCAGCGGCGTGGAGATCGAGATCTTACCGATTTCCGGACACACGAAGTACCTTGGTCGAGAATCAAGGTTTTCTGATTCACAGAGAGTGGGAGTTGCGAACAGGTTTGCTGCATCTGGGAGAAAGTTTTATTCTTTGAAACAGGAGCTTGTTGGACGCAGATATTCTCTGAAAGACCGCATGCGTTATTCCATGGTGTTCTAACGCCGACATGATTGTCAGGTTGCGAAGCGTGGACTGTGACAGTGGAACTTGGAAATAGAGTTCGGCGAACGCAAAGACACGCGCTGCTAATGATCATCCAGGCGCCACGTCGCAGAGAAATACGTCAACTTGAAAGCTTTGCGAGAGAACATATGGCAAACACAGCGATCAGCAGCGACGACGATGTGGACAGCGATGGAGGAAGACACGGGCAAATACCCGGAGCAGAGCACCTTCAGGAAGATTTGGAACCTTGGATAGAAAGGATCAAACGCAGTACAAGAGAGGAGGAGGAGTGCACTACTTCGTTGCGCAATCATGATTGGATCACGCAACGCCGTCGAAGAAAATTGCGATGCTTCGCGCAAGTTGCATGCAAGGCGCCCGGGGAGTGGATGCGCCAGGCTGTGCCTTGGGATCCGTGGCAACACGCTGGACTATATGCGGAAATGCGCCCTAACCGACAACAGCGTCGCTGGATTGACTCCATTTGTCATTTCAATTCGTAAAGAAACGTTGGCCCCGGAAGAACAGAAAACTTTCGCATACGGACGTGGCGCGCGAGATGCGGTTCATCTGCTCTTGAGGTTCGCCGCGCGAGATGCATGACATGATCTAGAGCAAGATTTCTGTCAGGCACTTTAAGATGTAATGGGTGCTTCGGCCCCAACCCGTGGCACCTACAGGGTGCGCAATGCGGGTCGCAGTCGCAGTCGCAGTTATTTCAATAACATATTGGAGATGGGTGGAATGTGCATCAAGGCATCACTAACCGTTGATGCTTAATCTGTCTTGAAGTCCTTATCTGGTACAAATCACATGAAGAAGGCTGAATGTACCCAACTAGGCCGTCACAACAGTCGGATCAGGCAGATGATGGAGATATGGCGGGCGATGGGCACACCAACGGCTGTATTGATCCTGAGATTCTCCTGACGGTGATGGCGGGTAGTCAGTCATTCAAACAGGAGGTATAAGAGTTTGTAGACAGGGTCAACCAGGCTACCTCGTCTTAGCCTGGCCCGAGAAGTATGAGGCGCGTAGTATGCATGGCCGCATGCTTATCTACGCCTGGTCACGGGGCTTTATTTTCACAAGACAAATCGTATTTTTGTGTGAAGCCGCACGCAAACCCATCTTTTAAATGTGGGTTGGCTCGTTGTGCTCGCATTTTTCCAACAGAGAAACCAGAAGGACGTGGCTGCCCGCTTTGCAGATTAGCATGACGCGGCCCGTCGCTCGACGCCCCCCTTCCTGACGTTGGACGGAGGTCAAGGGCGAGTCTACGAGCGACGCGCCTGCGTGCGCCGCCGCTTGGCTCAAGAAGCGCGCCTTTGTTGTATGAGTACGTCGTTTACAAGATACCGTCGCTTGCGACGAACGGAACATCTCATCTAGCAAGCACCCTCTAACATGTACCATCCCGCGTTTCATTTTGCAGCTGCCCGCTCATACTTCCAGTATGGTTTTGCGTAGATTCGTAGACTATGGTACGGCTTACCATATCACGTGCGATTTGGGGGTCCCCGGCCTGAGAGCGGGGCAACGATGCGCATCGTGATTTTTCCACGAAGTGGGGAACAGGACATGGGCACATGCCTCAGGCATCGCCCCTGTCGCCACGGAACCATCAGGGCTCTCGACCTTTTCCCTGGGGCTGGCTTGTCATCCTGGGCAGTCTTTTGATGGGTCGCAGAACTTAAGCGGCGGGCCTCCTGAGGCCGAGACTCGCGGGAGCCAGCGGCGCTCGGACAAACCACGCAGCCAATGGTCTTTGGGGCGGGGGCGGGGAGGAAATTCATATCTCCGACATGCGTTTTTCACAGCAGAGGTCTAGCCCCCTTCCCCGGGACCGGCTTTTCATCCTTCAGGCCGTTTTTTGCGGGTCCTGGGGCTGGAAAAGGCCGAACGTGGTCCAAAACCGTCAGTCGAGACCCTTCCCATGTTATGAGATTTCTTTGGTGAAGGGTCCTGCGATGACCCTGGTTATCGGGCCCGCGCCCCCCCTCCCCGCATGTCCTACCTTTGTCGGTCGCGCAGGTCCGGAGGAGGTATGCAGCACTGGTGCGTGCGGGCATACCCGGGGCTGCCCCAAGCGAAATGGTTAGGCAATCTGCCGTCGCCTCCCCCCCCGAAACGGGATAACCAAGGGAATCGCCGAGCAAAAACTCGAGGGGGCGGAGGAACACCCAATCGCAGGCGTTTTTTCTCCCCCAAGCCCCGAGTTCTGCCCGACAAGTTTGACGGGTCAGAAAAGAGGGGGCCCAGGGATACATTCCGAGGGAGCTCTTCGGACGCACCCCATATCGAGGACCGGCGCGCCCACCCCTATAGTATCTCCCAGGGCTGGGCCCAAGATTTTTGGTCCGTTCGAAAACTCCACGATGCCTGTGATACGGTGGAGGCCCATCCCAAGAAACACCCTGCTTGCCTCCAGACTCAGGGCTGGCTTTCTTGTGGAAGGTTTCTTGTGGACTGGCCTCCCACCGTAGGAGTCGACATCGCCCCTGTTGCCCAAACGCGCCTCTCTGGCTCAGGCGGCCTGCGCCTCGCGGCCTGCGCCTCCCGCCCTGGCCGCGGCACACTCGCGCCCTCTGGCGTCGGAGGTGGCGGGCCCGCCGGGCGCGGGCTCCCCGGAGGGGGGGAGGCCGCGATGACGTCCACGGGCCTCGGGCGGCGGGGCTCTGTCGTGTCCATGTCCGGCCTCTCCGCCGGGAGGCGGGGCTCGACGGAGCTGGGGCCGGCGGAACTCCTCCAGGCGACACCCCCAGGCCTCCTGGCGTCGAGGGGAGCCACGGCGGAGCCTTCTGTTAGCGCATCGGCGTTTCGGTGTCCGGGGGGCGGTCGCCGGGCCCCCAGGGCCGTCAGCAGCGAGAGCGGCTGCAGCGTGAAAAGCTGGCCCCGGGAGGAGGGGGTCGTGATTTCTGGGGGCTCCGAAGAGAAAACAAAGCATCGGATCTCTGGGGGCATCTCTTCCTCCTTCCTCTCCTCCTCCTCCTCCTCCTCCTCCTCCTCCTCCTCCTCCTCCTCCCCCTCAGACGTGCGTATGCAATCAGAGATGCTTTCCACCTTACTCTTGAACCACCAGGGATCTGACATTTTTATGTACTTCGCTCCCAAAGGCTCCCAGCCACGCTCAACTCTCCAGCCTCAAGATGTGCACCTCGCGAAGCGAGTCGAAGCGCACAGAGGAATGACACGTTTTTTCGCATGAAGGTCAGACCCATCATCATGTGCACCGCGTGCACGGTTTGAGCGCCGGCCTAAACTTGGCCTCCCTGCCAGCTTGGGCCGACAGACAGCAACGCTACAGTTCTTGGAAATACCTGTCTAGACACGCTGGCGGACGTGCGCGCCGGGGCCGAACCGGAGGGCGAACTTTTAGCTCGGTCCGCGCCCGCATGCACTCCCCCAGACGATGCTGCAAACGACGGAGGCCCCCAACAGGACATCTGCCAGCCCGCAGCTGATAAGCAATGCTGCCTGGTTTCTATCGTTCAGGCGCGCGCGCGCACGGCGGTCAGACCGAGTCAGACCGAAAAGTGAGAGCAACGGCCCCGGACCGACAAGGGACAGCAATGGCCTTGGGACCGAGAAAAGACCTTGCATAGGTCCAGCTCATGCCCCGGCAGCCAAAGCCGGCGGCCCCAGACCCCTGGAATTCCTGGAGGCACGCGTTTAGCCAAGCTGTGTGCCCAAGATCCTCATCCTCCTTCTCCTCCTCCTCCTCCTCCTCCTCCTCCTTCTCCTCCTGGCGTTCATACCCAGCGCTCGTTGCACTCGCAGCCTGGGTGTCGGCAGCGCGCTGTAAACTAAGCCCCCTCTTCCTCCCCATCTCCTCCCCCCCTTCCAGCACGGGGGGGCGAGTCTTACCATCCCTACCCCTACAGTCAAGAAGCTGAAGTAATGACAACTTCGGGCTGCGGAGGGCTCTGGTTTTCGGCCCCTTCCTTAGACCTGGGTCGGGGAAGCCTCGTCGGGGCCAGATACGACCTTCGCTCCTTAGGCATCGTGCCGTATGGTAGCATGATGACTGCAACCCTGTGGTCGTTGCAAGTTCCAGAAAGGACGGCTTGAAGCGCGGGACGCAGGGCAGGCCCATCGAGGATCTCGTCCGGCAGCAGGCCGCGGCCGAGGCGCGCGTGATGCACGCCGTGGGGCAGGACACAGTGACACCACGATGGCGACAGCCCAGACACCCTCGAGTCGAGAAACATGCACGACGGCCTCCAGGGGTCCTCCCCGGGCCCCGGGACAGTCAAGAAACGACCTGGGGTGAAAATCCCCCCCTAGAGAACGGGTCTGGACAGTTGTGGACCCTTCATCGAAAAACAACAAGTATAAGACATCGGATATCTGAATTTTTCGTAGCGGCGCTGACACCTCCCTGGCGGTGCCTCAGGCGCCGCCCCTGGCACGCTCTGCGCGCCAGGGAGCGGAGTCAAGCGCGGATCAAAGAAATCCGCGCGGATCTCCAACAGGTATTGTTTACCTTGTTCCTTGCCCCTCAGAAAGGAATCCCGGACCCTGCCTGGGAACGTAGACGACGAGGATGACCTCAACAACATGGTGGACCAGGGGGTGATCAGCAAGGTGGAGGCGCAGAAGATCAGGGCCAAAATACAGGTACGGGAAGTCGACCGTAAGGCGGGCGAAATGAGGGTAGACGCGGGCGTCATGGCCGGCGCAGACTACACCACCACGGCGCAGATGCTCGACGACGTGCTAGACGTCAAGCGCAGCCACGTCATGAACCTGATCGCCTGGGTCTTCGGCCTCGACGACTTCCAGCATCGGGTGAACAAGGAGGTCCTACGTCGGAGTAAGTCGGACTTCCGTCACCCCTTCCCCCGAGTCAGTTCAATCGTGAAGTCTACGAGATTTGATCTCCTGATCGGAATCATCATGCTCGTGAACGGCGTGCTGATTGGCATTCAGGTGTCCACTGCAAACGGCACCGAATCAGATACCAGCGCGTACGACTTAGCGGAGCACGTGTTCACCAGTGTGTTCGTGATGGAGATCATATTGCGCCTGATGGCAGAGGGGTGGCTCTGGCTGACGAATCTGTCGAACTGCCTGGACCTGCTGCTCATCTTTCTCACGGGGGTGCTGACCCAGTGGATACTGAAGCCGGCTGGCGTTGATACTAATGCCCTACGCGCTTTCCAGGTGTTGCGCGTGCTTCGGCTGATTCGGCTCGTGCGCATGGTCCGGCAGGTTAAGATGTTCCGCATCCTTTGGGAGCTGATCCAAGGCGTGGTCGACAGTGGCAGGACGCTCTTTTGGGCCTACGTCGTTATCGGCAGCGTGCTGTACATGTTTGCCGTTATGTGCGTGTACCAAATTGGCAGGAACGAGTCCTACAAGGACGACGCGAGTGCCGAGGATCACTTCGGAAACATGCCGCGAGCCATTGTCACGCTGTTTCAGACCATGACGCTCGACAGCTGGGCATCAGTGGCCAGGCACTTGGGCAACCACCAGTTTCGCGCCTATCTGATTTTTGTTTTCGGAATCGCCATCATGACCCTGATCCTCCTCAATATAGAGGGCTTCGCTCTTGGCCGCCAGCCAGCCTTGGGCGTGCGTGGTTCATCTCACGGCTATCTTGTATCTCCTTGTGGCTATCTTGTCCGTACTAGGGCATCGTGTGGCCTTCTTGGGGTAACCTTGGGTGCCTTTATTCTCTCGGGGTCTCGTTGGATCATCTCGAGCGATCTTGAAGGCATCGTGGGTGGGGTCTCTTTTGCTCCCTTGGGGCCGTCGTGGCAGTTATGATGCCATTTGCGTGCCTCTGGGAGCGATTTGGGACATATAGGAAGTATTCTCCGGCCTTGTTGGGCCATCATGAGGGCACCTTGAGGGCATTTTGTGGACAGCTTGGGGCCATTTGGGGTCTTCTCGGGGGAATATCAGGGTCTCTTGGGGCGGGCGCCTTTGGGCCTTTGGGGGCCGCTGGACATCTTGGGGCCTTCTGAGAGCAGAAACTGAATGAGTGCAGTCAAAAGCCATCACCCATTCTTATGTGTGCTTCAAAGCATGTTGTGCCTGCAAGAAGGTCTTGGATACCCCCACCTGGAGCAATATCGAACATATTCTGAGATGGTTCGACAGCCGTTTTGAACCATCTTTGGGTATCATGGAGTCTTGAGGGGTCGGGACGAGGCTGGGAGCACATTGGCAGGTGGCGTTGCATGTGCAATTCCAGGCCCTGGGGGGTCGAGCGTTTATGGACAACGAGTGGCCATTGAGTATGTTGCACTCGTTGTGACAAAGCAGCGGGGAAACCCACAGCAGCACGCAAGCATCAGCACAGGCGCGCGGTCTGCGGAGCCACTCCTTTTTCCACAGGCTTGTGGCCCCAGGTGGGGGCCAGCGAGTCTGGTCACAGCGGTCATTGTGAACAATGCCATGTACCGTGCCGAGAAGGACGGAGAGCTCCAGGCGCGGCTGAAGAACGAGGCGAAGATGGCCGAGATCGCCGATCTCCGCCTCATCTTTGCCGAGATCGACGAAGACAGCAGCGGCATGCTGTCGAAGGCCGAGTTTGATTCGGCCGTGCAGTTCAACGACAACGTGCAGATGAAGCTGCAGCTCCTGGACATCCAGCTCCACGAGTCCGAAGAGCTCTGGCAGCTACTGGACACGGGCACCGGCGAGGTCACAATCCAGGAATTCTGCGATCTTTTGCGCGCAATGCAGGGTGGGGCGAAGGCGAAAGATAGCTTCTCCATCGTGCAGAGGATCAGGAGGGCGAACAAGAAGATAGAGAGGCTGCAGAAGCTGGTGGAGACACGAAGGCACGTGGTCTACGACCTCCAGAGGCAGGCGTCGGGCCTGCAGGAGCCGGGGCGAGACATCCAGAATGACAGGGCTCGGGCCAAACGGCGTTTTGGCGATTTCGTGGACCGTTTTCGTTTTGACCTCGTTGTGCAGCAAAAGTGGCACGGAGACAAGTCGAGGCACAACGAACACAAAACGAACACGGAAATCACTGTTTAGTTCGAGCGTTGCAGAATGATGCGGGCTCTCAGGCGTCCACGGACGCTTTCTCCGCCGGCGCTGGACACCCTTCCTGCACCCCCTCCCCCGGTGGCCGCGCCCACGTATGGGGCGGCGTGGAGGAGGTGCCTGCGCGGTCGGAGGCGCCGCCCGCAGGCGTCCAAGCGGTGTTCTTCTCTTGGTGCCATCTTCGGGGGCATCGACAGAGGGGGATGGGCGTAGTTGGGACGCATCGACCCCCAATCGCCCATTGATCGCCGATAGGGGGCCCGATGGCCCCACCCCGCCCAGGAAAGTGGGGATTCACTGTCGTGGGCCTATCGTCGATCTATCGGCGATGTATCGCCGATTCCAGGTCGATGCGTCCCCCCCTATGCATACCCACCCCTATTCTTGCCCCTCACATTCGAGGAGGAGCTCGCCGTGGTTCTCAAGGACGCAACAGACTTCATCAAGTACGTGGGCAAGTGTATCCCTGCGCAGCCCGTGGTCCACTCGGAAGAGGAGCTACTGCGGCAGCGCGAGAGGCGGGCGACGACGGCGACGGCGACGGCAGTGGCTCGTGGCAGTGATCGGCGGCACCAAACCAAGATTGGGCCCTGAGGGATGGGGTCCCATGGACGAGTGGCCTCAAACAGCGGAGGCTCCGCTTGGGATTCTTTTCCCATCCTTGGGGCTCCATGCCCCCAAGGCGCCCCATCTGTGAACAGCCGAAGTGAGAGGTGGGCCGTGGAGTCCATCGAGCGCGCGGTGCGGTCTGTGCAGCAGGCCAAGCCGGTCAGCTTTGCCGAGCTGAAGGCGCTGCAGGACGAGGTGGACCAGGCCATGCAGTACAACCTCCACGCCGTGCCGCCAGGGCGCGCGTCCGCGCTGGAACGCTCCGCCGACGAGGCGCTTCGCGCGGCCGACGAGCAAGTGCAGGAGGCGGAGGAGGCCGCTCAGAGGCGCGCTTCCGCCCAGCGGTGA